AAAAAAAAAAAAAAAAAAAAAAAAAAAAAAAAAAAAAAAAAAAAAAAAAAAAAAAAAAAAATAATAAAAGAATGTCCTATATGACTCTATTTCCAAGTTGGTGCCAATTATGCAAGAAAGACAACAAATCACAAAGTCACCTATTTATGCAATGCACATACGCTCAATATTTTTGGACAAGGATTCTCAATATTTTCGGATGGCGTCTCACTTTTTCTAGGTAGGCAAAGGATTTATTGGGCACGGTTTTAACGTACCACCCCTTCAAGAATGCAAAAGCCTTGCTATAGAAAAACCTCATCATAGCATTCTTCAACCACGCGGTTTACCACTTGGTGTAAATTGTCCTCCCTCATTGTAAATTGGGAAGGTCTTTTGTAAACATCATGGAACAACCTAACTTTCAAACATAAAATTAACTTCCAACAGCACAATAAAACTTTTTGATATTTTTCTAGAAACTGTTTTTGGTATTGCTCTATCTAGATGTAAAAGTTACTGTATAGTCTAAATGGTTTTTTTTTTTTTTTTTGTCAATTGGAAGACCTTTTGTCTCCGTTGTAATCTTCCTTGGATTAGGGGTTTGACTCTTCTTTCTTTTTTGCAACATTTCATATCATCAATGTATTACCTTTTTCCTATTTCCCAAAAAAAGAAAATTTTACGACAGGCAGGTTGGGTATCCTTGCTCCCAGTCCAAGTTACAATCTGAGGAAGAGCTCGTACACAACCTGATTATTTGGAAGTGGGACATTTGGCGTCTACGTGTTCACTATATTTGTTATTCTAAGTTCAATTTCAAATTCTAGCCCAAGATGGGGGTGGGGAAGATAGAATTCAAGAGTTTGCAAGGTACCCTCCATAGGTTTTTTGGCCTAGGAAAAAGGAAGAGAGGTGAACTCTTCGTTTTCTTAGCAAAAGAGGTCATTTATCCCGCAGTGTAGTATGGCTATTTCGAGTGAAGGCAATTTTTTTTTTTTTTTCTGGATTTCATCCCTTCAGATTATATTCTTTGACAGACTCAAGTTAAGGTGTTTTAAACGTATCCTACTTCCTGTCCTTTTTATTATTTCCTTAGAAATAGGCAATTGGTGCTCAATGGAAGAATTAAAGCGACAACAGTTGTATGTGCAGGGGTAATAATGCTGACAGACTCAATTACTTCCTGTCCTTTTTATTATTTGACAAACTCAAGTAATAATGCTGAGATTACCTAGATGTGTGTATGCGTTTTTTTTAGTACAAAAAATATGTGCAGGGGTATATGGGTATTGAGATTTGAACCTCCGACCTCAAGGGAAGGAGTATATGCCAACCAATGCTAAATTATGCTTGTGCGAGATGTCTTAGTTTTTTCCACAGCAATTATTTGGTGTATTATTAGTTTTCTTTAATGTCCTTGTTTAGACTAAAACAATCGTGCTAACAAGTTGTTGTCTAATATATTTCTGTTAAAATCCAGGGATAAACTTGAGCTTAAAGCTATTAAGGATGGATCAGTAAGCTATGCTGCACTAGAGAAGAAGGCTGCGATATATGACAAGCTAGTGAAAGGGGAACTCTCAGATGAGGAAGATCAGGAGAAGTATTGTGTGGATTTTTTCCGCAAGAATCTTGAGCAGGACGAATCACAGCTACCACAACACCATGATGCTTCTGCACCCGGAGAAACGGACACTCCAGAAGACGAGACCGAGCCATCGTTCTTGTTTAACTCAAAGACAACAGGACTTGGGAGGACGTCTGGAATAGTGGACAACAACGAGCATAAGCGCTTTGTGAGGTAAAACTCCTCTTTCCCCTGTTTTGGAATTATCAAGCACCAAACAAGCCCTTGGCTAGCAACTTCCATTATAACATTGTTCTGAAATGAGGCTCACTCATTGATTATTTTGATATTGGTTTTCTTTAGGGAGGTTCATGAAGAAGTAAATCAAGCAAGAGAGAAGGCATCCGAGCTGAAATTGCGTAGACACGAGCAGGCCGCAGCACGTCGTGAGAAATTGAAACTGGCATATCTCCGTAAACAAATCGAGAAGTTGAAGGCTTCATCAAATTCAGGACAAACGTAACAGAGGAAGAGAAGTATAGAGTGCTTTAGTACCAATTTACCTCTGAAGCAGCGAGACATTGCTTCCATTGACAGCAAATGGACAGACCTTCGTCTCCATCAAGCCTTTCTATTCCCAAACCTTCTTAATTTTCACCTTGCATCTTAAATTGGACATGTCATGGAACTAGATAACTTTGTGCTCCACTGTATATAAAATCAATGTCAGGAAACAAAAAAATTGTGGCTATTGCTGAAAAATCAGAGTTTTGTGATCTGGAGGGCGTTTCTTCTTCCTTTCTCAGTTCTTAAATTCTTTCTTTATGTTCTCATTAAAAGCAAGCTATACATCAACGTTAGCAAATGAATGTATTAACAGAAACAATACATTATAATGCAGTGAAATATAGCATGAATATCCCAAGGGGGCTTGGAAAATGAGGCACTGCCACCAGGAAGCAAGATATCAAGCGCTTCAATTCCGCGAGGATAAGATGGCATCTGAAGATGACTATCTCTGCTTTATGGAGCCAAAGAGATCCTCATACGAACGCTTTGGCGCATCGGCTCGAGAGACTATTTCAACAACCTTGTAAGAGGCTTGGGAATGAACCAATGCCTCAACAGCTACTTCTGCAACTAAATCTCTTGATATGCTTCCTTCATAAAGAGTATCCTAAAAACAACCAAGATTCAGTCATGCGCCTAAATGTCATAGAGAAACAATGATCGATCAAGGTAAACAAGAGAAAACTGTGATTACTTCTGCCGTCATGACTAAATTTCCGGTAGGAGGCTCATTTTTCAAACCTCCAGGCCTTATAATTGTGTAGTTAATACCCGATTTCCTGATGTGCTGCTCCGCCTGAAGCTTTGCAATCAAGGTGAGCCCCAAAACATTTAAAAAGATATAAGCTGGGTTGAGAATCTGTCCCATTGCAGCTCCATTGACTAAAATGGAACTGATCAGAATAAACCTGTTTATGCCCAACTCACGGCATGCTTGAACAAGGTTTACAGTGCCAAAATTGTCAACCTGCCAGTAACACAAACATTTTGAGAATATTTTCCTTTCTTAATACAACAAATAGAGATACGGAGATTTGTACATAACAATAGCACCACATTGAATGTTCACTTTACAAAGTTACTAATAACTGCACATTTGTTCACTTTCTTCTTTTTCCATATATATACACGTGTATGTATGTATATATGCATGCATATGTATTTATATGTATATCTCTAATAATCGAGGGCGCTCAAGCTTTAACTTACACACCTCAACTAATTAAATCTCGTTGGATCTTCAATACTTTGGTACCATACTCCACTTATGACTTCAAAAACACCATGAGATCTCGTCGGTTATTAGACCAATTCCATGGTGGTTAAAAAATTGTCAACCTTCATGAGTGATAGTATCACACATTCTGACCTTCATTTTTAGTCCTTGGCATTAGTTTGCTGATTTGAAATATCAGATAAATGGACAACATTTCTAACCTAGAATTGTGTAAGGGAGACATGAATGAAATTTGAGACCCGAACACCATCACAATATTTCATATCATTGCCCCCACCTTTCCAAGTCTCAATTTTCATAAAAATTTCTAATGTATTTCTATTTGAAATGGTTACTTTTGAATGAGTATTTTTTTTTATAAAAAAAATTGCAAAAGTGTTCCTTTTTTCTTTTTCTTTTTTTTGAATTTAGCTTCAATTTTCGACGAGAGAGTTTATTTTGAACTCGTGGGAAGGAGAAGTGATATTTGACCAGTTTGTCGTGCCTTTAAGAAAATTAAAAAGAAAGTAAAAACAGATAATTTAAAATACACCTATTTTCTACGCAACTTTCGTGGCAGTTAAGAAGGAAAAATACTGAAGCACAAAGAGTTGAGATTTGAAGTTAAAATATTCGAGAAATTTGAATGGCATTGAAAGCAAACCTTCCATGGCGCAAATAAGTCCCATCCTCGGCGAAACCCCGTAGCACAGATTACAGCTTCAGAATCGGAACCTATGGCTTCTGCCAACTTTGCAGAGCCTTCAGTCACATCCGCTTTTACCTGTTATAAGATTAACAAAATTGAATTGCAACTGAAATAATTCAAAAAAATTCCCAATGAAATTCCGAAAAAATTTAATGGACAAACTTACAATTTGAAGATCTGGATTGCCTGGGGAGAGAGTAGTTTTAGCCTTACTTACGTCTCGAACCCCGGCCTTGACTGCAAAGCCCCTTGCCAGCAACTGCTCCACAATCCTTTTTCCAGTACTACCGGATGCACCAGCCACAAAAATCTTTTTCTTCACATTTAAATTGTCCTCGCTTTGTTTCTCTGCAACTTCTTCCGTAATTTCATTTCCTTCCATCTGCCGATAGGCAATAGAACTTTAGAATAAATCACTAGAATTCATAAAAACCTAAAAATAAAAAAGCCTGGTGACTTCATATCCTTTCCGCAGCATCATGTACGCGAGCAGCGAAAAGGAAACTCATGTCTAGTAGTCCTCATAGTGTGCTAGTGACATTTTACTCCCTAAACAACTCGAAGTAATGGAAATCCAGCATAGAATAGGGACAAGAATTACCTTGTAGGAGTTGAGAATGGAGATGGAGGCGAACTTCTTGGAGGAGGAGGAAACGGCGAGAAAGGATTTGCAGAGAGGACAGAAATGGAGACGTTGAGAGTTCGATTGGAAGAAGGAAGAAGTGATGGTGTTGGGAAGGGAAAGAAAGGCCATTGCCGAGCCACAGATCTCCTTCCCGCGGCTCTACTAGCGCCATGTAATCCCATTTTTTGTTCGAGTCCTTCACAACAATATATTTTACTATATAGATATTATTATTATTATTGTTTAACTAATTTCCACAACAATTTAAAATTTGAAATTTATTGAAAATAAATTGAACAAATGAAAGTATATAATAAAATCTAATTTACCGGGAGGGACAAAGTAGTATTTTCACCTCTAATTTTCCTACTTTCCACTCCCTTAATTTTTCTTACTTTTGATTTTGTCCAAACAAAAACAACAAAAAAAGGTTTGTAAAGTAGGCCATCTTGCATGAGGACGATGAAAATAATTGGATTGCAACTACATCAAAAATCGGAATTCTAAGACATGAATACATGCTTTCTCATATTAGTGTGAAAACTTAAAAGAAATTCACGATCAAATTTTTTTTTTTTTTTTTTTTTTTGAGTTTCTTAAAGAAACTCACGATCAAGCTTTTTTACTTTATTTACTCAACTTGTACCAGGCCTCATAAAAATAGAGTACTACTGATCGAGGACCGTAAAAGTACAGTACTACTGATCGAGGACTGGAGTAGGTCAAACTCTAGGCGGGCGGTACAGAAATCTTGAAACAAATATTTAATAATTAATTTTAAAATTTGCATTCTTCTTCTCGGTGGTTGGTTTATGTTCTACCAAATTTTAAAAGCTGCACTCATGGTGGGAGGGGAAAAACCAAACTAAAGTAACGACGGCTTTACCTATGTTAAGTTCCTGCTTAAAATAGTCCTCGCGAATCAAGATGTCATATGCACCATGCCGTCAGCTATCATTACCCTGTTATCATCTTGCAGTCTCTGCAAATTTTCAAACTGTAAGAATTAGTCCCTCAAACAATATAATTTAAGATTAAGAAAGCTTAGTAACAGATGCTGGCCTAGATCAAATTACTTCAAAGCAAAGTATCTTAGTTATTTAAAGTTGTTTTTATTTACCTGCAAGAGCAACATTATTTCAGCTGTAGCGAGTATCTGCTGCAGCATTAACGATATTCTCAATGTCTGCAAAACATTAACATCCAAGTGGTTTGCACGCATGTGCTGACCAAATAAAGAATTGAATGCTTCTATTCTGCAAGAACAAGGTCAAAGAATTTGAATGAAAATGGAGATAATTCTTTAAAAAAGTGAGAATAAGATGTGGTGAAGGCTGCGTGATTGCTAGCAGTTTAACAAACCTTGTGCAGACAGATCAAGTACGGGTTCAGTAGGAGGATCGTCGATTTCCATGGTATCTGTTTCTAAGAGTTGAGACTTGGCAACAGAAGGATCACCAACCATCATCATGTTGATATCACTGGAAGAATAAAATAATACTGTGTTTAGTAGAGAAAGATTGTTAGCTACAAGAACAGTCCTAGAGAAAAAGATTGCATACTTTAGTTCTCTACCAGAAGTCATAAAAGGGTTAAACATGTATATAAAAACCTTAATTTTTAATCGGCACCATACTTTCATAGAGAAAATGAAAGGTTGTACAAGAAGTCACAAGATATATAGTAATGTTCTTAGACAACAATCCTGCAAGCTACCTGAACACTCCGTTCAAGCTGCCCTTGGTTTTTCTTGGAAGAGCTTTATATATTCCTACAATAGCAACACGATCACCTGGCTTGCAACAGTCAACTAAGTCATCTTCAACTATGACATCCACTGTTCGTGGAAGCTGACCAGGCGCTGAATTCTCAGGCATTTCTTGCATTGACAAGGTTTGATGATCTTTATATCCACACAAGCCATACTCGGTAATCAACAAGTTGCCATTTTCATCCTGAGAAAACAATTTATTTCAGCACAATTTCTTGAGTATTGAAGCATAATTACTTGTAAAACAATTAATGTGATTTACCCTTGTGGGATACACAGATCCAGCGGGCAAGCCCATGTTGGATGTAATGTCACGGTATTCATGGCTGGTAAAACTCCTAGTTGTGGGGCAGAAATGAACACTTTTGACAACTTTTGGTCTAACAAGAGAACTTATATCCAGTGATCACCGAATCAAACGAACACAATAATTTAGAAGACAAACATCAAAATTATTGTGAGATACAATCAGAAAGTTCTTTCATTCGATATTTCAAAATCTTAAACCAACCAACACCATGTATATGACCCAAGATAATTCCAAAATTAACGGACAGTTGGATTGTAGTTTTAAGGCTTAAGACAACTAAAAACAAATTTCATCAAAATAAAACAATTTAATATCTGAGTTGAGATAAATTTTGCAATCACACGAGCACATCATGCATGAAAACTAGACCTTATTAGTTTCAGAACTTTATATAGAATCCATGTTACTGTAAATTTCCAATCGAACAAGAATGTAATTGAGAGAAGATCAGAAATGTTGATTATGAGGCAATGTCGCTTATGATTAATCATGGCTTTGATCTCGTCCATGTAAATTCCTTTCCCAACCTGATTCAAACCAGTAAAACAAACAAACAAACATTGTGAGGAGACGTTAAAGCAACAGAAGAAGAAGTGTGTGAGGATTTAGGAAAAGAAAACGCACATCCTGTTCAAGGAATTCCAGAAAGTCTCGCTTGTGAGCAGCCCTGATTTCTTCACCGACGTCCATTTCGCTGGCCCTGACTTTCCTCTCCTGAGCTTCTTCGTCGACGAACCGGCGGAAATAGACGGCGAGTGAGAGGGAACATTGAATAGAGTAACAAAACGCTTTCGATTGGCCATTGCCAAGAGAGGTTAAGATTTGGCGCGAAAATTGTTTACTTTAGGCGGAATTTTCCTACACGGCCCATACATCCAAGTTCAGTTCAACGGGCCACAAATTAATGTCGGCCCATAGGCCCAACCTCATGGGCTGCAAATTGATGTCGGCCCATAGGTTCAAACTCATAGGCTGCAAATTAATGTTGGCCCATAGGCCCAATCTCATGGGCTGCCTAAATGTTCAAAATTAAATTAATGAAAAAAAATTCTACCAAAATTTTCGTATTAAAGAGTAAATGATTTTCATTTCTAGTCAACCTTCACACGTGGCTTAGAGCAATTGAACAAGATTCTAGTGGCTTGGAGAACTCCAAACCGGTTCAGAACTTACTCAGAAAAATCGAGTTCGGGCCGAGCCGGAGCTTACCAAGTGAAGACCGAGCAGAACGGCGCGCACATCCATGGCGAAAGCGAAAAAGCCCCAGAAATCACCTTCAACCGCGGCGCATGATTCTTCCGAAGCGTTCGAAGAAGCGTCACAAGAGTAAATACTACGCCCCAAAACCCTGCTCCTTTAAATTCACGGTCATCGTTTTCCGAGCAATCCTTCTGAATTTTCTTTTGGCTTACAAGAACAAGAAAAACCATGAATCAAAGTAATAGCGCGTAATGAGTATACTGAACGTCTTATACTGTTTAGAATACTTGAGCAGGACTGCTTGCTTTAGCTCTTTCAAGTGTTTCCTTTCTCTCTTGATGTTACGATGAATTGAACTCTGAGTTGCTACTTTTAATTATGGGAATGAGTTATGTGAATTTCGATCCCGTTGGGGTTTTGAAGTTTATTCAGTTACAAAAAAGCGTTGATTGTTAAAATGATTACCAAAGTCCATAATTTGTTCCCCTTCCCCCCTATTTCTGAGTATGTTGTTCATTACAAATTTTGTGGAAATCTTCAGGGATACGGGATTATGTGTAAAAAGAAGCGAAGAGATGAAAAGGTCAGCAAAAGGTCGCAGATTTAATAACACGGAGAAGAGTACGAAGACAAATAAGAGGCCAAAATCAAATCAGAAGAAGAAAAATGATAAATTTGATGTCAATAAGCCGAAGAAGCCACCTACTGCTTTCTTTTACTTTTTGTACGTTCCCTTCTCTTACTGTCATCTCATTTAAGAAGTTACTTTGTTGAGCACTTGAATTGCGTAAGTCAATCTTAAACATTTTCATGGTTCTAATGCACACATGTTAATGGAGGGGTATCGTAAAATTTCATGACAAACTTGATTTGGTTATGAACGTATGGCTTTTGGCTTTTTAAGTGGCTGTAATATGAACTACTTGCAATCTGTAAGAGTAACGCTCATATGCTTATACGCAATGCATTTTGTTCTTCATTTTGTATTTATGACCATCATGATTATCCTCTTATAGTTGTCTGCCAAATTCTTCCTTAAGTTTGAACTGAGTGGAGTGCTTTTCATGCCTCATATGTATATTTTTGGGTGGATATGGTTTGATATTGCAGCTTCAATGTGAGGATTTGAGCCCGTCGAGTCCGTCCTGCTCATGTATACACCTAAGAAACGATACTTACATGCTTTTGTGAACTTGTAATTTTGAAAATCTAATTGAAACATCCATAGTGTCTTGAGTAGAAGAGATGACGTGTAGAACTGCATCAGTTACTGCTGTAAGTTTCTATGATGGATATTTGAGGTGACTTATTGAGCTGAAGTCTTATTTATTTATTTTATTTTATTTTATTTTTATAGTTGAGAACAGTCATCTTTTGCACACTATTGATTTCTAAAATTTTTAATTGATTGAATCGTCCTAGTCATACTTCTTGATTCATGAAATGTACTTAATTTGTTGGGTGTCGCCTTGCAATGTTGCTTTTCACTTCACCGTTATCATATATTCAGCATATGCAGTCCAACAGTTGCGATAGCTAGAAGAGTTTTCCTTTAGTCTTCTTAGCACGCTTATTGTAGTACCATATTTCATCAAACTTGGCACCATTTAGGACTTCAGCTTACAGAACTTAATTGTATTTTCATTCTCAAGGGATGACTTCCGCAAGGAATTTCAAGAACAGAATCCAGATGTCAAGTCGATGCGCGATGTAAGTTTGGGAAAGTTGAATGCTAGTCCCTCTGGCTTTGTTGGGTTTCCTCCCATCTGTTTATCCTTTCTCACTCAGTCTATTCTTACCTTGATACTTTTGATTCCATACCTCAGGTTGGCAAGGCATGTGGGGAGAAATGGAAAACAATGACATATGAGGTTAATGTTCTGTCGATGCTTAACTTTGTCTAAATTTTGTGATTGATAAGAACTTCTGTGAGATCCCACATTGGTTGGAGAAGGGAACCAAACATTCCCTATAAGGGTGTGGAAACCTCTCTTTAGCGGACGCGTTTTAAAACCTTGAGGGGAAGCCCATAAGGGAAAGCTCAAAGAGAACAATATTTGCTAGCGGTGGGCTTGAGCTGTTACAACTTCAGTTTATTCTCTATGCAAAACTTAGATTGTTATGAATCTTAGCAAGTTAGTTTTCATTGATTTACCTTCAAGCTTTCTTCAGATGACAATGACATAGGCACATAGGCACGAATATGGGGTTTTTACTTTGTTGTTACTTTTTTCCTTCTTCCTTTTGGGGGTGGGGCTTATTGAGGGATGGTTTGGGATAGGTGTTAGAAAAGTCACAGAATCATGCAGCTGATTATTGTTTCTCTGTCAAAAGAAAAAAATATATATATCATGCAGCTGGTTTACACTTCTAAAATTAGACGTTATGATGTGACTGGTGTTGACATATTCATTACAATACTGAACGGTTATGATCGGTGTATGCTGCGTAGCTGCCTGCTAATCTGGGTGTCTTATGATAGGTTATTAGTTCGAATTGAGACTCGGTTTATGAAATATTCATTATGGAAGTTGATGGCATCGTAGAAGATAAATTATTATTTTCTTTTTCCAAAAAAGAACAACAACCTAAAAGCTCCATGTATTTGGTTTCTTATATCAGGAAAAAGTACAATATTATGATATTGCTACGGAGAAACGTGCGGAGTTTGATAAAGCCATGGCAGAATATAAGAAGAGGAAGGTAAGCTCTGCCTTGATTTTGCTGATTTTATATCGAACAGAAAAATCATTCCATGTTTTGGAAGATAAAAACAGAGAATGAGCTTTTAACAACCCATTGCAGGAAAGTGGAGTAGATCAAGAATCTGAGGAAGATTGGGAGATTGATGAATAATAGCTGGTATTCTGTAGGAAGAGCTTGTGCAAGGGCAACAAGTTTTTTGTTTTTCCTTTACCCCGTTCCCTTTTTGTTGTCTTTCTAGAACTGCTAATATTTATTTTCTGTATAAATTTCTGCTGCAAATAGCTTCTTTATTCATAGATAATTGGTTAGATCTAGATCACGGCCTTACGATATACATCAAAGAGTTCAACGTATATGTAGACGTTCGAACTCGCTTCTATTGTTAACCAAATGTAATTGCTTGTAGTGCAGATTGATCAAATGTGTTTCTCGACAGGAATCTAGCAATATGATTGATTTTGAAGGTTTGAGTTCTTATCTTGCTCTGGTATTCTGTAGGAAGAGCTTGTGCAAGGGCAACAAGTTTTTTGTTTTTCCTTTACCCCGTTCCCTTTTTGTTGTCTTTCTAGAACTGCTAATATTTATTTTCTGTATAAATTTCTGCTGCAAATAGCTTCTTTATTCATAGATAATTGGTTAGATCTAGATCACGGCCTTACGATATACATCAAAGAGTTCAACGTATATGTAGACGTTCGAACTCGCTTCTATTGTTAACCAAATGTAATTGCTTGTAGTGCAGATTGATCAAATGTGTTTCTCGACAGGAATCTAGCAATATGATTGATTTTGAAGGTTTGAGTTCTTATCTTGCTCTGATACACGAAAAAGCTTATGGCTTGAAATATTGTCGTCGTCTTGAAAACACGTGGAAATAATGGCAGATTTGGTCCATCGTTCTTCCAAAACTAAAACATCGTATGCAACTATCGTATCTAATACCATAGGAGGAAAGCCATATAAAAGGATCTTAATTTGGAAGGCAAACGTTTTCCACATGCACCAGAGAACCATAAATCTACAAATTAAAAAATGCGCCATCGGGTCTGCTTAGCCGGGCAGCTGATGGTGCTAAGGAATCAGCAATGCTCCTGACCTCTGCAATCATCGCTACAACATCATTGAGCTTGTTAACTGCCGATCCTACACCCTGTGTTAGACAAAGATATCAAAATACTTAACTCCATTACTATACTCTTGACAGAAACATTAACTCAGACCCAGAATTGCAAACTGAGTAGACTATACAGGGAGAGGTCGGGAACAAGTGACATACCACGCCTGCAGCTCCAGCCGTGATAGCCATTGGCACCGTGACAGCACTTAACCCGGATGAACACATGACAGGAATCTTAACAGCCCTCGAGATCGAATATGCTGCTGCTAGCGTGGGCGCTGCCTGTAATTATCAAAATCAAATAGAGGCAAGTTACAATATTTACATCAATGAGAAATTCGCCACAAATTTGTCTTCAAACAAGGTGAATTTAGGCTCTGTATGATAAATCTCGTATGACTGCCCCAATTTTTCTACTTCGCACCTTCTCGATCAAGCCAAGCACGCCAGACTTTGAAGGATGAGAGCATTTTCCTCCTTCAGTTTGTATAATATCAGCACCTTCTTGTTCCAGAAACTCTGCCAGCTTCACCTGTTTATATCTCAAAACTTTCGTTAGTACAACTACAACAAGAATGGTGACAAATTCCCTAACTTGCATTAAGCCCCTGCTCTAACCTGATCAGGAAGTCCAAGTGTGTGGGGCACGGTGACTGATAAGACCACAGACGGCAGTAACCTCCTAGTCTCTTTTGTTAGATTCAATATCTGCATCACAGAAACATCAATATCTACATGATTCAAACGATTCAAGATTTTCGTGCTTG